AGGATATGACACAAACTCAGTTGTAAAGCAGCAGCAGGTTTGAGAGCATTGACTTCAATTTTGAAAGTTCTACTGTGGGCCAAATGCTATCAAACAGCATCACCTGCTACAGAGAAATCATTCGTGAAAGGAAGGGTCAGTCGCTGCGGCAAACTTCATTAGCTATCTTATTTCAGAAATTGCCACGGCCATCCCAACCTTCGGCAACCACCACCCTGATCCGTCAGCAGCCATTACCATGGAGACGGGACCCTCCACCAGCAAAGATTAGGACTCCCTGAAAGCTCAGGTGGTTGGCATTTTTTAGCAATAAAGTGTTTTCAACTAAGATATGTACGTTGTTTTTTTAGACATAATGCTAATGCACACTTAATAGACTTCAGTGTAGAGTAAACATAACTGTTACATGCACTGGGAAACCAAGAAATTCACCTGACTCGCTTTATTTCAATATTCACTTTACTGCCGTGATCTGGAACCATACACACGGTATCTCTAAGGTATTGCTTATAGAAGGAAAACTAGAAAATCAACAAATACAGGGAGTTACACAACACACTCTTAAACAACCAATAAGTTAAAGAAAAAATACTCTGAGACAGGTGAGCCTACAGGCAGAACATACTGAAAACTATAGGCTCCCACAAATCGCGTTAAGAGTGATGTGTACACAGTAAACGCGTACACTGAAAACAAAGAAAGGCCACAAAGCCCAATGGGTAACCTGTCACTACACATTCAGAAAACAGAAAAGTGGGATCCACCCAAAACAAAGCTAGCAGGATAAAGGAAACGATGAAAATTAGATCACGGCCAAGACTTCTTCACACAGACTGCTGGACGTGACGGACCTTTCGACAGCCAAGAAAAAAGGGAGGCTCAAGTAAACGCAGAGATGGAGAGGGGTGTCTTAGCACCAACAGTACCAGGATCAGAAAGATCAGGGAATAAGAATGCCAGGGAATACTGGACGATCACACGCCAAACTGGACAACCTAGAAGAAATGGACGAATTCCTAAAGCCACAACCCCCAGACTGAAGTGTGAAGAAACAGAAAGATCTGAGAAAATCAGTAACTACCGAGGACACTGAGTCAGTCGTTTGCCAAAAAAAATTAAAAAATAATAAAATAAAAACCAAAAGACTCCCAATGAAGAAAATCCTAGTACAGTATTTCTTCGCGGTGAACTCCACCAAACTCTGAAGGACAAGGGAACACTAATTCTTATCAAAACCTTCCAAAAAACTGCGGTGAATGGTCTCATCTTTCTTTCAACAAAACAGAAAAAAATGCCCGCAGATGTTTCGTTAATTAGTACACACGCACACATATATTCCTCTGTAAAAAACACACTCAGGTATTCACGTAAAAAGCCAACTTGCATCAGGATCCGGAAAACTACATTTTTGAAGTTATTATGAGCATTAATTAATAATTAAGAAAGGCTGTCCCCATTCACATAAATCCTCCAAGTTTCTTACCTTAAAATACTGTTTTACTTTTTCTTGCAAGAACTCTGGATTCTCCCGGAGGCACTGCCTGAATCGAGCCACCTGACTTCCCAGCTTCAGGAGCTCCACCGGGTCCCCGTCGTGGTTCCAGCAGGGAGCAATGTACTGCAACCGAGAATTTCAAAGCCACAGCGCGCCTCACTCTGTGAGCTCTGCGCTTGCTCAGTAAACAGCAAACGGGACATTTTACTAAAACACCAGCTTCTGTGGCTAAAAATACCACAGATGACGGTTCAAAGCAAAGATTAAGTCATTCTTTGGTCAGGAAAATTTCAGATCTGTTTTTTCTTAATAAAATAAAGAACGGGTTTTGAAATAATTTTTAGAAGTATAATTACCAACAGTCAACAGTTATAAACCTCTATCCATAAGTATTCTGTGTCAACTTATCTTGCCTTAAAACATAAGCTACCAAAAAGCCGATTACACTGGTAAAAAGACACAACATATCATAAAACTAAGTTAAAAGTAAACATATCCGATCCAAAATGGCACAGCTTTCAAGGTTCAGATGAGAGGCGCTGTGAATATCTGTATCCTCAGCTGTCAAATACCCATTGGTCATGAAAGTTAAAGCAAAACAAAACCCACAAACAGAGCACGAGAGGAAGGAGGTAGGTGAGAAATTACACACAGACGTCAGGGTGAGTCCAAAGCTGACAGACTGATGCTTCATTTGTATTTCGATTTTATGTAGCAGAGCCTCTATTTGATCATCTTCAAATCCTTTCCTAAAAAACAGAGAACGGAGATGATGATTTGCAATGAGGCACTAAACAACCGTAAGTGGACGAATACGCGTTTTATGAGGAAAAAAGCCCAACGATGCGGCTGGGGTGGGGAGGGGGGTCCCGCGTGGAAAGCATCAGGGATGGAGAAGGTCGGCCCGGCGGCGGCCAGCAGCCACACGCACTGGAGTACTTCCTCGATGGTCCTGTCGATGATGTCCCGGACGGCCTGGACGTCCTGCTCGGCGACCCCCTGCAGGCCCACGCTGAAGTAGGCCTCCCTCGTGGAGCCATTGTACCTACGACACAAAGGCAGACTGTGTGGCAGACCGCGGACACGTTCCGCGCGCGGTGTGCTCGCTGGAAGATCACGCACTCTCGACCGCACAGCCACGGACGCTTGAGGCTCCCGAGTCCTCCAAGAAAAAGCCAGTGACAGCGGTGCTCTCGGACATTTGGTCCGCGCACACAAGTGCTCACTGTCATACGCGTGTCCACTTAACATTTCTAAAAACCAATACAATTTGAACTTTATAGAGTTATGGCAAAATTAAATCTAAAAACAGAACGGCTGCGCTTTTACAAAATTTTAAGATTTGAAAGAGTATTTAACAACCTGGCTTTTCAAACGGGCAGCAGTATGCCATCCTGAGATCTTGAACAAGCGATCTTTCTCTTCTCTTTTTCCAAATGTCCCCTCCAGGAGATGGAATTATCTGTACTGGACCCACAATCTAAGGCACAGTTCTGTGCTTGGGGCGGGAACGGAACCGTCCCGCGACTGTGAGGTGTCAGGCATGCTACATCCTTAACCCCACCCACCAGGTGCCAACACCCCTCCCTAGTCATGTCGACCAAAAATGTGTCCAGACACCGTCAAATGTCAAAACTGGCCCCCACCGCGACTACTGACCCGATCGTGAAACCTACCCGACATCAGGAGAGAAGTCTGTGCCAAGCCCAGATTCAATTAATGCTTTGTAGAAGGGGGAGTTAGGTCCACTGATCAAGAGTGACGACAGAAGGTTTAACGTGAAGGCTTCAAACGTATCAGTGATGCTTAATGCAAAGGGCAGGGGAGAAAAAGGCCCTCATTAACGTTTTCAAAATCATTAAAATCACCAATAAATCGACTTTCATTTCCAAAGCTGACCTAATACAAATTCTTACATGTTAACCTCTATTTTTAACTTACGTGGATAAAAGAGAATAATTTTTTTTTGGTTTGCAAAGTTCTAGTAAACCGCATTATTTTGGGGTCCCAAACCATGAAGCTGATTTAGCCGCATATCGAATGCTATCATACTACAGGGTGCCAAGCACTCCGACCTGTATCATCCTAATTACAACTGCACTGTCTACACCTCAACAGGAGCAGCACGGCGGAGGACCCCTTCCTGCCCACGTGCCCCACGTGTCCACGTCTCCACAGCTACAGAATTGTGTGTGTCGTACGTTTTTGTCAAGCCAGCGTTCGCTGCGCTCCTCTCCCGCTCAATGGCATCGGGGATCCCACCCCACAAATGTTAACCGCTGTCCGAGCCACCTTTCTCCACAGAAATGAGCTTTACAATGCAGCGAGAAGTTACGTTTTTCTGGATAGCTAGTGAAAGTGATTTTGCCCAAACCACCCCAGATGCTGCTAAAGCCCTCCCTGACATCCACCGGCTGCTGGACTTGGAAATTCCGACCGCCGACCCATTTACACTTGGAAAACTCACCTCCAAAGCTGCTAACCTGCACTTTCCCCAGTTCACAGCGGACACTTACTCTGGTAAGAGGAAGCCGACCCCGACGGTTGTCTGTTTAGAGGAATCTGCAGCCAGTGCGTCTGGGCCACATGTTATCTGGAACTCCCTCTGTAAAGCGACACGATGCTTTAAGTAGGGACAGAGTAGGTTTAATCTAGTAAGTTCCCTGTGTGTGTATAACGTGGCCCAGGAGATGCTTTTCACTAAATTAACTTTCTTCTCAGACACACAACTGTTCCTTAGGCTCAAGAAGCTCTTACGTTCAAGGCAGAGCCCTCAACATTTGAAAATCCTGTGATTAGTACGCAGTTTGGCTCTCCATTTCAATGTACTGAGTGTCTATTCTCTGGATGGGGCACTTACTGGCTTATCCCAAGGCTTCTGAGTGGGCACTGCAGTATTTGGCTTAATTTTCTCAAATTTACTCAGTGCTTCTTCGTGAATTTGTCTCAGATGCTGTTCTAACGGGAAATTGCCGTAAGTGAAGAACCTGAAATGTTGACAGAATAGATCAGTCTAGCTCAGTTTACACGATTGGGAATCTACACAGATGTCTTTCCGTATAAAATGGAAGGTACACAGAGGAGGAAAACCCTCAGCTTGCCTCATCGCACAGACACAACCAGATCCAGTCCCATCTAGGTAAATTACCCAGGAAACCACGCGCACACTGCCAGAACAAACGCCACAACTAAACACAGAGAAGAGCACACACTGCAGAGGGAAGGGGGGCCAGAGCCGCTGTGGGGAGCTAAATGGACCAGCACACCGTCTGCTGGAGGAAGGGCCCATGGGCGGGGAGAGGGGACAGAAACAGACCGTCACTCAGGGGAGAGCACGTGGAAAGATGAATCCCTGTAATATTTGGCTTTGAAAATGAGAGGGGCCGGATCTCACAAGTTCTTACAACTAGCGAGACCTAAAGCCGGAACTCTAAAAATTGGCAGGCTCTTTCTGGGAGAACCTGGAGGTGATAGGAAGCGGGGTCCCTGCCCTTGAAGAGAGGGCATAACAAACAGCCAGTGGAGATAATGCAAAGCAGCAGCAGCTTGAAAAACAGAGGGGCATGCAGGAGGGTGTCAGAGCGTGTCCCGAGGGACAGAGACGACGGGAGACTCCGCCAGGAGCAAAGACCTGCTTCCGCTGTGCCCCTGACCCCCCCCCCCCCCCCCC